CTTTTGCTATTGTAACGAAACGAGTGCCAAAGGAGAACTCTAACAAAGTAGAAATCTGGGACATAAAAATCATAGAAATCCAATCAAGAGAATAGTTTGAAAACTTGTTGAAGTATACACAGCTTTCTGGTCATCTCGTATCAGTTTTCAAAACATTCTGTTGGCAATTTGTTAAATAAATCGATCTTTGAGAAGCTATCGATCCTCAAGAAAGCCATTAATGACTTCTTTCAAGGAACTATTTTAGAGAATCATGAAAAGCTGTAACCAAGAACACAAGAACATAGTTGAGTTAGTAAAAACTAATGACAGACTCTATCAAATTTCTTGGAAATAACAAAATAAGAACTCGAAATTCTGAGACTCATGGTTTCTCAATTTTATTATTCAAAATATGAGTGACAAATGAAAGAATGTCTTACTGATCTTCCTAATTGATGGTAGCTTGAGATGTTAAATCATTCCAAATTTGTTATTTCTCTGACTTCATAGCAACGGGTGTTTATTGGAAATAACAAAATAAGAACTCGAAACTCTGAGACTCATGTTTTCTCAATTTTATTATTCAAAATATGAGTGACATATGAAAGGATGTCTTACTGATCTTCCTAATTGATGGTAGCTTGAGATGTTAAATCATTCCAAATTTGTTATTTCACTGACTTCATAGCAACGGGTGTTTATAATTTTTTTTAAACGGCCTTTTGTATATCCACAAAATCTGAAAAGTGTCACAAAAAAATATGAATGAAAAAATATCTATAAAAATATTCACCTATAGAGACAGTAAATTAAACATAAAATTTTTCTTTAATCCAGACTGAGATAGATCATTCACCTAACTGATTGAGTATCAAGGTCATCTGTATCTGTACGGTAGGGAGGGTGGGTGTAGGCCCACAGCACTTAGGCCACATGTGACCAATTGTACATCCTCCCGAGGAGTTTTCTTCCTAGGTCATCGTCCATCCTGTCCTTTCCAGGAAGGTGGAAAGTCCCTGGGAAACATCTCCTTTATATCGGCAGG